CCCAGTTATTCCTCCAGTATATCAGGGTGATGGGGGAGATGTGCAGGAAAATAGTGTAGAGCCTGATGTTGATTTACGTGCAGGACATGTTGAGCAAGAAGAAGTAGGAGAGCAAGTTCCCGCAGAACCTCAGTTTAGAAGATCTTCTAGATAACGTCAACCTTCCAGAAGATATTCTACAGATGAGTATGTGATGCTTACTGATGTAGGTGAACCAGAGAGTTACCAGGAAGCAGTTGAGAGTGAGCAGAAAGAGAAGTGGTTAGTTGCTATGCAGGAAGAGATGGATACTCTTCAGAAGAAGCCACACTTATGATTTGGTGCTGCTACCAAATGGAATGAAGGCCTTGAAGAACAAGTGGGTTTTTAGGTTGAAGACTCAAGAATATTGTTCTCAACCAAAGTACAAAGCTAGATTGGTTGTGAAAGGCTTTGGTCAAAAGAAAGGTATTGACTTTGAAGAGATATTTTCTCCTGTTGTTAAAATGTCTTCTATTCGTGTTGCTCTTGGTATTGCTGCTAGCCAGGACTTGGAGGTTGAGTAGTTAGATGTGAAGACAACTTTCCTTCTTGGTGATTTGGAGGAGGAAATTTATATGGAGCAACCAGAAGGCTTCTAAGTCAAAGGTAAAGATAATTTTGTCTGCAAGTTGAAGAAGAGCTTGTATGGGCTAAAGCAAGCTCCAAGACAGTGGTATAGAAAGTTTGATTCATTTATGACAGAAAATGGATACAAAAGAACGGCTTCAGATCATTGTGTGTACATCAAATGGTTTGGTGAGGATTTTGTTATTCTCTTACTTTATGTTGATGACATGCTTATTCTTGGGAAAGATATGTCTAAAATTGACAGGTTGAAGAAGGAACTGAGTGAGTCTTTTGCAATGAAGGACATGGGGCTAGCAAAGCAAATACTAGGTATGCAGATTTCTCGTGACAGGAAAAACAAGAAGATTTGGTTGTCACAGGAGAAATACATCGAGAAGGTATTGGAAAGATTTAGTATGAGCAATGCTAAGCTAGTTGGTTCTCCTCTTGCAGGTCACTTCAAGTTGTGCTCAGAACAGAGTCCGTCAAGTGATGAGGAGAAGGAGAAAATGCAAAAGGTTCCTTATGCTTCAGCAGTTGGAAGTTTAATGTTTGCAATGGTATGTACGAGGCCAGACATCGCATATGCAATGGGTGTTACTAGCAGATTTCTTGCAAATCCAGGCAAAGAGCACTGGGCAGCAGTGAAGTAGATTTTTAGATATCTCAAAGAGAGCTCTAAGGTTTGTTTAAGCTTTGGAGGTGGACCACCTGTGTTAACAGGTTACACAGATGCAGATATGGCAAGAGATATAAATACGAGGAAGTCTACTTCAGGTTATGTACTTACTTTTGCAGGGGGAGCTGTGTCATGGCAATCCAGGTTGCAAAGGTGTATTGCTCTCTCTACCACAGAAGCAGAATATATTACTGCTACAGAGGTATGCAAAGAAATGTTATGGATGAAAGAATTCTTACAAGAATTGGGGCTGAAACAGGAAAATTATGTGGTGCATTGTGACAGCCAAAGTGCCATCCATTTGTGTAAGAACCTAATGTTTCATTCCAAGTCAAAGCATATAGATGTCAGATACCACTGGATTCGAAATGTATTTGAAGAGAAGCAGTTGCAGCTTCAGAAAATTCATACAGATGACAATGGAGCAGACATGTTGACGAAGACCTTACCAAAAGAAAGACAGGAGATATGCCGACAGCTGGTCGGCATAGCTTCACATTGAGGAGTCATGGGACAGCCTCCCTTATGGGCTGAAGGGGGAGGTTGTTGGGCTGATGGCCCATATTCAGCCCATGTGGGCTTTATCAGCCCACAGCCCACACCCCCTCTTAACCTAACCCTAATTAAGATTAAGGAGGTGTGGTAGCTGCGTTTTAGAGGCAAATTAAAGCTATAAAAAGGCAGCAACGAGGCAGATCTTGGTAGCCACGAGATTCTAAAGAGAAGAAGGAGAACAAGGCAGAAAAGGAAGAGAAAGAAAGGGAAGAAGACAAGGACAACGCAGAGAGACTGTTCTCAATCATCTAACAATGTTCTCATCTCAGGTTAGATCAAATCTACAGTAGGCTCTTGCTGTGATTACTTGGGAGTTTTAGATATTGTGGGCAGTTATTGTGGGCAGTGACGTGATCCTTGTATCCCAGTTATTCTCTTATGGTTGTTACTAGGGTTTTGGGCAAGAGATTGAGATTTGTACATTCATTATTCTCATAGTGGATTATCTCTAGTTTGCCCCGTTGTTTTTATCCTTCACATTGAAGGGGTTTTCCACGTATATCTTGGTGTTCTGTTTGATTGTGTTTCCATTTTATTCCGCTGCGTATTTTGGTCTTCTAGTATTTGTTCCTATACAAAGGTTATTCCTATTTATATCCCCATCAATAATAACTCTATAGTTCATAAGTGGTAGTGAGATATTAAATTAACTATTTTTTAGAAAAATAGAATACATTTCCATTATATTAAATAGACACTTAGAACTCAAACTTTACATCAGTCACTTTATAGAACAATACAGTAACTAATTTAGATGTCTCAATAAAAACCATTAAATAGAGTACTAATTTGGTGTATTATTGTGTCTCAAAGTGAGATACACATTGGGATATATGTAATTTTGTTTTAAAAAACTATAATGACTTCAAAATTCTCTAAATTGATACGTAAAGGTCATTGAAAAAAAACGATGAACATGAGAAAGGAAAATATTTTCTCTCGTTAAAAATTAGCATTTATCCATTTACTTACGTGACAGCCTGGTAGAGCATACGCAATCTAAACAACATGAATTCAAATTAAGAATCTCTGCTAACAAAAATATATTTTTATTTTTGTAACTGTGAAAAAAGTTCTTGTTCATCCAACTTGAAGATTATGTTGACTAATTGCGCATTTGTTATTCTAGAATGACAAGAAATTTTATTATGATGAATTTAATTATTGATATAACCTAATCAAATAAATTTAATTATTCAGGAAAACTTGTGTGTTTCTATAATAAATTAATGACTTCCCTTTATAAAATAATCATATATTTTTTTTAAAAAATATTTTTTAGACGTTTTTTCTTTAGTAAAATATTATTTCCAAAGAAAGAAAATTTCTTACAGGTGGACACACAGTTAGGATTCTCTTTTAAATTAAAAATTATAATGTCACATTTTAAACAAATTAAATTTCATTTCGTGAGGTAATCAAGTTTCTCTTTTTTATGTTGAATTATTTATATTTCTTTTCCCCTACAATATATAGCTTTATCATATTTTTATTCTCACAAGCAGTCTTCTCTTACATAAATGCATTCCAAGGAATAATGATCATATTTGAAAGTTTTTATCTTACATTTGACACTTATACAGATAGGTTAGTGGTGGGGTAAAATATAGGTATTGGGATTTTGATTAAAAATTAATAAATATTAAAAAATAAAAAAATTACTTTCTTAATATGAAATCTAGTCTCTGTATATGGGATTGATTGAGATTTTCACCCAAAAATTCAATCGGTATTCTCCCTCCGAATATAATTATGAAGTCACTTGATTAACTGTTTTTAGTAAATTGATGAGTAAAATTAAGTAATAAAAATATATTTAAACATGAAGAAAATTTGTATTAGTCACTGAATTGGATTAATTATATATATGTATACATATATATATATATGTGTATATATATATATATATAAATATACATATATATATATATATATAATATATATCTCAGAATGTGGATATTTATGGCACATATGACATGTGACGAAATTCAACTTAATTCAATTTATATTGAAACTTGATACTCTCATCGTGATCATCAAATCCTTATAAAAAATATTTTTCTCAACAATTGAACATAAAAAAATTTCATCCATATGTTATTAGACTTAAGTCCTAATAGATCTATATTAAGTGATATGTAGTTTAGTAAATGAAATTTGAAGATAAAATTATATCTATCAATATGGCTCACGATGATTAAACTATATTCTGCTCGTCTACACGTTATCACTCTTCTCGGAGATAAGTGGGTTAGGTTGATCCAATCATATACCTTTAATTAATGATCAAATACACATAAATATTATAAAATATATAATTATGATATTACTACTTGTTTATATTATATATGTACAAATATCTTAAAACCTTGTGTATTGTTCTATGGATCATATACGATACGGTGGATTCCAGTCTTCTTAGAATCAAAATTGTGGATAAACAGGAAGTAGATATGGGCTTCCAAACACGTTTTGGGATTCCCCGAGGATATTTCCCAACCTGTGTGTGGATACAGTTCTGCCTTCGGTTCTCTCATCTCGGTACTTCCCGATCCTTATCTCGTATCTCAGCCATTCCCTTCTCTGCGGGCCCCCACCTATCGGATCAGATGGGAGACGTTGATCGGTGACTGACTGGGGCTGATCGAGAGAAAGCGACGGTTCAGATAGATCGAGAACAGAAAGGGTGGCGAGACATCGTGTGGTTCTATCTCCCGGAGGTCGTGACCCGAATCGGGCTTTTACGTTACCTTCACACGAGTTCGCGGTCGCCACCCGTGAGGGCGGTGGCGAGAATCTCCCACGACTCCGCCCAGACGCGCGGCAGAACCTTATTGCGGATCCCAGTGGGTCCCCCTCGACAGCAATCGCGTATCCCGTTCCGTGGGATGAACACCTCCCGCGGAGCCAAGACGTGGCGGATCCCAGCACTAACGTGAAATGGACCCCACCTTTTTTCTAAACATTTCGGATGTGCCACGTTTGTGTCTGCTGCGATCAGGTGAGCCCCACGCTCTACGATTCGGATCGGCACTCGAGTTACGACAGGCCATTGTGTGTGGTCGACCCGATGCGCGCCACGTGCGTGACTTTTCTGCCTGCGCTGAAGCACACCTCCTCCTCCCCATCCACGGCGTCTCTCTTTATATCGGAACCCAAACCCCGCCGAAGCACGAAACGGTCTTTCTACTCTCCTCTCTCTCTCTCTCTCTCTCTCTCTCTGCTTTCGTCTCCGGAAGGCCTGACTTGGATTCAATGGCTTCCGCAGCTGCCGCATCCTCCGCCCTCTTCTACGCCAACCCTACGCTGCACGCCGGCTTCCAGGACATGAGAGCGAAAACCCCCACGGCGGAGTTCCTCCATCTGTCTGCTAAGTTCTCGGACGGATTGCCCACGTCCGCCTTTCGGGTCCTCAAGCACCCCTCCCGGTTGCGTCAAAACCTTGGATCTGTGGGAAGACCAGGGAGGACTCCCGGTGTGGCCTATGCCACCGCTGCCACCGAGAAGAGAGTCCATGATTTCACCGTGAAGGTAGGAGTTCGATTCTTGTTTCACTTAATTTTCTGGTGTTTTCTTTTCCAGTTGTGTGTATGTAAACAAAAAAGGTTTTTGCTGTGCTCGAAAATGAATGTGTATAGGTATAATTGTCTTGAATATGTTTTGATTAAATTGCTTTATAATAGTAAACATAAGATGGTCCATTTGAATAGCTGAAAGCTTTGCTGATGTAAGCAAATAAAGATCACTGCGATCATGTATGCTTCAAAGAAACTAAAGATTTCATGAATAAGAGATGAGCTGAAGAATTTGACTTTTGCTCAGTAGTTATGCTGACAAAGAAGTTATATTTGTAAAGTAATTATGATTTTTTAATTCGTTATAGTGATTACATTAAAGCTAGCAAATATAAATACGAAGTTAGGAGGTCAAGCAGCCTTGTCAAAGATGATGTTAGATTGAGGTATATACAATTGTAGTCTCCTCTCTCCAACCTCCTTCCCCCGTATAATTTCTTGAAGAAGTATATATTTGGCGCAGGATATTGATGGCAAGGATGTTTCTCTCAACAAATTCAAAGGAAAGATTCTGTTGATCGTTAACGTTGCTTCAAGATGGTAAATTTTGTTTCTTCTGAATTGCTTGTACTTGGTATAACTTACAGTAAAATTTTAGTTTGTTGAATATGTTAATGATTGTGTATCTGGCTCTAATTTTTAGTGGATTGACATCATCAAATTACTCTGAGCTCTCTCACATTTACGAGAAGTACAAGACCCAAGGTATACTCGATTTGTAAAGTGAATAAGCTTTTTGGCATTTCTTTTCTTTCTTTCTTATATTTGTTAATTCTTTTTTAGCTACCCTGTTTTAGTAACTCCTTTCAAGATGGTTATGAGGAAGATGATGATTATAACCAAACCAAATCATTGTAGTACAGAGAAACAGCATCATGTTTGTGAAATTTAATTGTGAAGCCCTAGCAAAGGTGATGGAAAATTACTTTGTTCCTATACATTAATTTATAAGTGTTATTTGGAACCTTAGTTAGGTTACTCCATTGTGACCTGCATATAGGGCTCAAATCAAGAAAGTGTTACGTCTTTGCATATAGTATACATTTGATTATCCATCCCAGCACCCATCGGAAACTTCCCATATTCAATAGGCATCATGTACCATAAATTCATCACATCTCATTTCCATACTATTTAACTGCAGACATGCGGAACTGTAATCCTAGCGATTTCTCTCCACCAATTGTGTGAACATTGAAAGATCATCTGCATGATAGTGGTTGTATCCCATATAATGCTAATGCTACATCCGGAAGTTTTCTGAATAGGATGTGGATAGTTTGAGTATAATTTGTTCTCTCCTTTACAGAGATACGTGCGCATAGCAACATTTGATATCAGGTGCTTCATTATATTACTCAAGCAACTCTAGAAATGATGGGAAGGATACGCTTTAGGCATGAGAAAGTGTTTATGAACCTAGTAAATTTATTGTAATAATTCGGCAAGATTGTTCAGGAAGAGAATTGTATATGAACTATTTTTCAGCTGCAAACAGAGAATTGCTTGCTGTGGGATACTAGCTGTTGTTTCTTTGATTTTTCCCCCTCCTTTTTAACTGAATTTAAATGTAGGATTTGAGGTTTTGGCCTTCCCTTGCAATCAATTTGGGGGACAAGAACCTGGATCAAATTCAGAAATTAAACAGTTTGCCTGTACAAGGTTCAAAGCAGATTTTCCTATTTTTGATAAGGCATGCCATATAGCCCCCATATGTTTTATTCTCATTCTAAAAATGCAAAGGCATATACGCACATGTATATCAACTATATTTTCTAAGTGTTTTCTGCATGACAGGTTGATGTTAATGGACCAAATGCTGCACCAGTTTATCAGTTTCTCAAGTCTAGTGCTGGAGGATTTCTAGGGGATCTTATAAAGTGGAACTTTGAGAAGTTCTTGGTAGATAAGAATGGGAAAGTTGTGGAGAGATATCCACCAACAACTTCCCCTTTCCAGATCGAGGTGTGTGTGAAATAGACCATGGTGATTTCATTAGTTCTTGTGATTTTGTTGGTTAACATAAGTTATGATGACTTTTCATATATTACTTGATAGATCAAATAGGTTTGTGTACAGTGCATAACTAAACATAAAAACAGTGACAAACACTTAGAAATACCCAATTTCTAGTGAATCTGTTCTACAGATACTAGTCCTAAAAAATTCCTATCAAGATAAGATTCTGTGAATGCAACTTTTACTGTTGGCTACACAAATAAAGCTAATATGTGGATGCTCAATATTGTTTTACAGATTTAATTTCCTCTTTTGATACGTTTAGCAGTTTTTATTCTTTTGGTGTTCATTTAAGAAAATAAATCCATATTATGATGAGTTAGTTCTTAGCAAGGAATGTGGCTGATTGAAACCTTTGCTGTGAATGTCTAATATTAGTAATATTATTTAGTTCACTGGCGGTGTATTTTACCACTAGATCCTTTTCCATCTAATACCTTTAGTTAACTCCTTGTTTATTCACAGGTTACAAAAATATACAGTCTTATAGGCTCAGAATCTAGCTGTTTTGGGCATTATGAAGAGCCAAATGTGAAGCTGTTTTCACAAATTATAATCTCAAGTTGGCTATATAACTAATAAGATATTGAGTACCAGTTTCTTTCACTCCTTTTAGATTCTTACTCTGCATAACAGGGTGTTCCACTGATAGAACTTCTTTTTCATGCATATCCTAAATTCTGGTATATTAGTTTCATTCAATGATTTTAAAACTGAAAAGAAAGTGCAAAAAAGGAAAGAGAGAATATTGTGTATGTACTGGAAACAAATCATTTCTCCTGTGACATGCTTTGGAATGATCGAAACTTCAGTACTGGTTTGTGTTTTTGACTTTGCAACTCAAGCTTAACGAATAAAGTTGGTTGCACCATGAAGGTCGGTAGTCAATCTGAAGAATGGTAGATGATTGAAAAATTAACTTGGGTGTGTGTTTCTTCTTTTGCAACTTAAGCTTTGGAAATTAATATGAATAATGGTATTTAGATTGCACTTTCGTGATATAGTGAAGAAAAAGACGTAGATGAATTATTCTAGCTAGATCACAAGGATATAGGGATGTAAAATGTTGTACTTAATTTTCCTGTGATCTCCTGGGTGATGTTTTAGCTTTAGGTATCACTTCAATTTTTTGTAAAAATGCTATTTGTCTTTCATTGCAATTTCCTTTTTTTTTTTTATAATTTCAATGCAAGTTGCTGATTTGAACTGAAATATCGGACCAGTTTATGGAACCAGTCTAGCATCCATCGTTGGATGGAAGTGCATGTGCATATCTATAGTTATTTTCCAGGACGAACATATTTCTATCATGGGGATTATTTTTTTTAATACCATTGTAGCATGTTATCTGCATATGCCAGTAAATTATATTTCAGTCTAATAGTTAAGAATCAATCCTTAACCACAAAAAGGCAGAGCACAGAATAAAGGCTCACCTATCTTAATTATTCTGTTTCTGGAGGTTTAGGATACCACCATAGAGACAAGCGATGGTTCCTTTGTGAAGACCACTTTTTTGCTTTTAACTCATTTAGATATACTATGTTGCTTCTGACTATTACAGGTGCTGGAGAATCCACTAAGGATTAGCAAAATGTTTACTCTGGGCACAAAACACAGATGTGTTTTTCCATTTGTGTTTGTTGGAACTAAGGTCGGCAATCCCAGAACATAGTCTGGGATAAAGATAGTTGTCTTAACTTTGAACTGTTGGAATTGTAAATTGAGTTATAATCTTCAACTTACGTTTGAACAGAGTCCTTCAAAACGAAAACTCATCATGAAATGATTTTGGAATGAAAATTATCATGTTATTGTCCCATTAAATTGCTCTCCTCTTTCTTTTTCTTGTCTCTTGTACTCTGTTATCTCTCTCTTTGTTTCTAATCAATAAGTTTGCATCTCATACAACTACTTTGTGTTGCAGAAGGATATCCAGAAACTCCTTGCAGCATAAGTACTTTTGAACCAGGACGAATGGGAATAGAACTTGAAGACAATCTTCTGTCTCATGTATTCAGTAGTAAACGTGCAGTTGTATGGATCCATGGATATGCCAACTTTGATGGTTTTGTAGATTATCTTCAGAAAGTTTTATTTATTATTTGATACAATTTCCACATAAATAGTAGTCAATGAAGTTTTATTTTAGATCACAGATGGCATTGTAAAGATCAATGATTTCTTGATAGCATTGTTGCAACAGTGTATAATTTTGTTTCCAGAGAAATAGGGAGAATAGTAATTTTACTGCTTAGATTCCTGTTGGGGGAATGTCTGATCGATTCTGAATCATGCGACACCACATTGATGGTGCTACACAGTGCGTTTCGAATTGCGGGACCCACTCGCTCTAGAGGTGGTGCTACACAGTGGGTCCCGCAGACTCCAAGAGGGTAGGAGGACGCGTGGTGCCTATCTGGGCCGGCACAGGTGGTGAGCCCCACTCGACGCTTAGCAACAGCCTCGGACACCCGCCATGATCGGAGTCGTCCCCTGCCACATTGCCGACCCCAACCCTCTCTCTCTCGGGCCAACGGCGTCCGCAACACCTATGGCTCAAGGGAGCGGTCTCCCGTAGCGAACGGAGGAATAGGAGGAGGACATCCCACATCGGATTCCTCGGCGAGCTGGTAAACGCATCTTTTAGCAGGTACCAGTGAGCCCTTCGTTTGGCTTCGCCTCTTCTCCATAACATCTCTTCCCTGAGGAGGAGATGTGTTCAGAAGAAGAATGTGCCCGGAGAAGCGGAGGAGGTTCGTTTAGACATTGATAGATCAATGTTCTAGATGCAATTGCATGCCACGACCGATCATTTACAACTTTGAAGGTCTGCTGAATCGTTTTTTCTCTCGTTTGCTTGCTTATTTGTGTGTGTAGAATTCTTATGGTTGTTGTTCTTGGATCTTACAGAAACCCAAGTAGGAGCAGAAGGGTCCATAAGGTTCAGTGTCGAAGTTACTCCTCTGATTAGGGTGATCAGGTACATACGAGCCCTAGACGCAGTGCTTCTATCTATAGTTTCGTTATTAGCGTCACCCTTCAGGATTTTGAACTGGGTGTCACAAAATGCATACAACATGTCTAGGTTTCTGTAGTTTGGCTTCCATATCAATTGTATTTTGCATTCCCCCACTTTTATTTACTTCCAAATGATTATGCTTCTGCTTATGCTGGGGGTTTGATGTACAGATATCAAAAATCTCATATTAGCAGCCCCTAAACAAATGTGAGACCTTAGTCTTTGCTTGTTAAACGTTACTGTTGTTTAAACTAATTATATCCCAATTTATTAGATGAGAATAAAATTGGATTGGAAGGATATACAGAGATATATGTCGTATCCATAAGGAGCTAAAGCAAGGGATAAGATTATAGTTTTTGGGATAATCATAATTCCCACATTAACTATATTCATGCATTTTATTGTGGACTCTCAACACTTACCACATTAATAATCCTTGTTTTGGGAGTAAGGCCAAGTGGGTTCAGATTGTATTTATGACCATTGTAGTAGAGCTGACTTAAGATCAAAGGTGCTGGAAAGCTGGCAAATCCGCATTTGGTGGACATATGTGATACCTAAGTAGTCCCATATTGATGATTTACCATGGGGTGAGATGGCTGGCAGGAAAAGGTTGTATAGATTAATTACTATTGCTTGTTGTTCTAGTGAAGTAGAAGAAAACAGTTTTAGTCAACTGTAATGAATTTTGGTTATATTGAATTCGTAGTTGTCTGGTATTTTAATGCACATAATGATTTAAGTTTATAAGGCTATGCTCCAACTATTGCTAGTTGTTTTAACTATTGGTAGGTTATCTCATACGGTAGGATTTACAGCTTGTAGCTATCACCATAAAGAGTCGGTTGAGGATCATTTTCCAATAGTTGAAATGCAGATTCTGAAATTTTGACAATAAAATTAGTCATGTTCTTCCCATGCACATCGTGGAATATTGACACTTGACATTCGGAAGTTCTAATTTTTTGATAAATCCATTATTTTGTATTTAAAAAAATGAACAAAATCACTCATGATGCAGACCCAATGCAGGTTCAGAGGAATTGACAAATTTTTAGGACACATTATATCCTATTGATTATATGGCTGAAAGGGAGATTGCAGTTACAAAGGAAGCGCTTCACCAATATATCATCATAAGAAAACTTCATATGGAGCTAGAGGAGGAAAGAGAAGCTTCAGCAACTGCAGCAAATGAAGCTTTATCCGTGATTCTGAGACTTCAGAGAGAAAAGGCAGCAGAGAAGATGGAAGCATGCCAGTACAGGAGAATTGCAGAGGAAAAAATGCATCATGCAGAGCAATCCTTGATTATTCTAGAGGAAGAAATGCAACAGAAGGAATTTGAGATTTTAATCCTTAAGCACCAAATTAAGTTATATAAGACCAAGTTATTGAGTAATGGTATTGGTGATCTTGGATCTGGAAATGTTGTAACAAGTGAAGATGGTGCTTTAGTGGACAAAACCGGTCTTCATGGCTATATTAGCAGGAACATCTCTTTGCCTCCTTTAAGAGTGGTTAAGTTGTGTAGTGAGACTGGTGGCAATGAGAATAGTCTCCTAGCATTTTCAGAGCAAACAAAATGGAAAAGGATTGGTGACTGCACGGACCAGCTTGGTGACAAGAATAGGGAAACACCAAACTTGTTTCGGGAATCTGCAACGGATGATTATAATTCTGAAGAAGTAGATGGAGAAGTGAAATATGAATCAAGTCCACGAAGAAATGGGTGTCAAACAACATCAAGTAACAGCCCACACAGTTCAGGAAAGGAGTTTTCATCTTGTTCGCGGGATTCAACTCTGACTGGTGACGCATTGTGCCATTCAAATTGTGGAACTAAGATCTGTCTGGATGCTGAAGGCGCTTCAAGTTTGCATTCGCAAGCTGTAAAACAAGTGGATACCATGGAGTCTGTTGGGGATAGCATTTCACATGATCAAATTGAATCAAGGAGAAATGCAAATCATTTGGCATGTGTCCATGACATATTTGAAGTCCCAGAAAGTGACAAATATCATACCAGTAGAGAACCTAACAAGCATTTCTTGGAAGAGTCTATAAAAGAGTCTAAAACTTCTGTTGGCACTGAAGATTTAGTGTCTCAAGATACAGTAGAATCCCCTTCCCGAGACAATGATTGGCTAGACAGGGTAGTCACACATTCAGACCATAGTAGTGGAATTTCTACACCAACAAGCCAACCTGACAAGTTGTCTGCACCCACAAAAGGTGAAATGTTGAATTATAATTCGGTTCTCGTGGATTCTATAAATAGAACCTGTATCATGCGGAATGATTTTGAACATATAAAATTCCAACTGCAGCAGATTGAATATGAAAAGATTATGAAAATGGAAGATTATGAAAGGAGCAACGAACAGTTAAAGTTGTTGAGGGACATTTATGACAAGCTGAACACTATAGAATGTCACCTGCAAAGTTCCAGGTCCAAGAAGTGCCTTCAGCACAATGAGTCCCAGTTGATCTCTGTTATTGAGGTAAGCTCTTGCTGCTATTTGTAATAATTAATGTTGATAGAAGTGTCATAGTGGAAGGTGCATAGAGATGTCCCATCCTAGCCATTAGATAACAATTTGCCACCTTTCCTGTCACATGCCATTAAAGTTGCATCCCAAATAATATGCTTAATGTTTATGAAAGAGGACCAAGGCTATTCTTTATTCTGCAATATACATGAGATTTTTTTTTTTTTACTTTCTGGTTGAAACTCCCTGATTACTTGTATACTTTGCTGAGGTAAACCACTCATTATATACTAATCATCATTTATCTTGCAACATCAGTTCAGAATGGCATAATCTAATGGTTGTTGAGAATGATTTTGTTGTTTTATGTTTCTGAAGAACAGGCATTCCTATCATTCACAATTTAGTTATGTTGAGCTGGTGGTCATTCTGGCAATGTTCATTCTTCCAACCAGAGATTAGTTCATATATGATGCAACCATCCTGACTACATGGTTATAGAGGGTGCTGTTGTTCGTCCCCCTCCCCCCCCCCCCCCCCTCCCATTCATGGAAAGGATGAGAATTTAGGGTGGCTCATATTTTTTTTCTCTTTCTTATGTATTATTAATATAGTTTGGAGCCTGGAGTGCAAATTATATTGGAAAGATATATTCTACATCAAATACAGATATCACAAGAAGTTTATAATTGCTGTTCGGTTGATAAGTCTGCTAGATTTAGTCTGGTGACTGTTGTTTTTGCTTGACTAGCTATATCACTGTTTAAATTCATCTGATTCTCCCTCAACTGTTCACTACATTACTAATTTCACCTTATGAGAGGTTTTTCTAATATGAAGTAGGGGTAAACGTGAGGGAAGAAGATCGACATTAGGTTCTCAACGTCCAGTTGGGCAGACAACATAAATGTGAGGGAAGAAGCATTCGTGAAAAGGTAAACACATCATAAAAAATATTGGGCAGAAAAAGTAAAGAGTCACCACACTTGAGTTCTTCATGTCTGTCGACATTTTTAGAGTGACTCAATAGCAATCAAATGTAATGGATTTAAATGGTACCTTCTTACATGAAGTATGGAAATATAATGTCTATAAAATTTCTTGTTTCATTTTGGGTAAAAAAGAGGTGTTGTCTTATTCATTCGTGAGTTAGAAAATATAGATAATGAACATCCATGGTAAGAATAGAGAACACCTACAAGTTGAAGTTTCAGGAGAAAGAAAGAACACAAAATTAGAGAAAACATTCTTGCAGCAACTAAAACACAAGCTTCTTATATATTTCCTATCAATGGCAACAATAGCAAGCAGACTTAACCTCTTCTATATTACTTATCAATGGCAACAATAGCTCCAATGTTTACTACTGTTAAATTGCTAAGAGATGAATGTGAACATGACAAGACTTAGGAATTGCAGGAGAGATGAGATCCTCCAAATGGAAAGAATGGAAGAACAAATCTAAGAAAGAGAGAGAGAGAGAGAGAGAGAGAGAGAGAGGAGACTCTTCATTTGTCATATATGTTCATGGCTCATGTAGAGAAACACTGTAGCAAATAGCAGGTAGGTTGCACCTTGAGACCTGAACATTAAGCATAATATCTGCACCTAAGTGTAGTCATGTCACCTTCAACAATTCCAAGTTGCATCCAGATCATTCTTCTCTCGTTCATTTGTTTCTATCTAGTGTTCAGAATGCAGACATCCGGTCACAGCTGATCTCACCATTAGCAACAGCACATACTGCCCCCTGAGGTTTGTATCCCACTTCATGTGGTAATATTTATCCCACGTCTTCCCTTGCTTGTAGTACTTGTCAGGTGCTGATCCCACCATTGTTCTGTGAGCAGAGACTTCCCCTTTTCAGCTCTCAGTCCATCAAGAAAAAGAAGGCACAGAAGTGTACGGGGCCATCTTTCTTTAGTTCTCCACTACCGGATGGAATTTGTCACCTTCCTGAATTGCTCGAACTTGTAATGGATAAAGCAATTGTAGTGCTCCATCTCTTTCTTCCGTCCAGCTTTATTTGTTGATAATATATGGATGGGATATATACTTTCAAGGTAAAAGGAACTGCATTTTATCCTATTATGATTGGATTATGAACATGCTTAGTGGTGGAATTATGATGGAATATCCTTGAGCTGAGCATTAAATGTGTATATGCTTTTCTGCAATTGGTGTTGGAGATTCTTGATTGCAATGTTTGTTTACATTTTGGCTATCTGATGGTGGTAGAGTTCCATTGCACTTTACTACTTGTCTCAGTGGAGTTCATAGTGTTGATCCTCTTTAGTAATGGGCATTGATTAGATGACAGAAGGTTAACATGATGATTAGATGGACCTTTTAGAAGTGCCATTCTATCTCTGCACTACTCTGGCCAAATTGTTTGCTGGTTATCATGATGATTGGATTGTGCTTCTCATAAAGTAAGTTTGGGTGTTGGACACAGTCCATCCACGAGCACCAAAAGAGGAGTATATTACAAACAAATATACTTGGGAAGTGAACAGATATTTGAACAGGGATGCATACCTGATTGTATGCATCCAATAGAACCAGGAATTGTGTTAGCAGTAGAATTCCCCATGTCCTCACTGCTTGTGAGTTGTGAGGAGTGGGCAGCTTTGAGATATGACAAAAGTGTTGGAGGAGGAAGTGGACAAAGATGGGCTTGATTGACATGCATGAAAGATATCAGCCTTACATGTAGAGGATGGTAAAAGAGGCCTAGTTTGTAACTTTGAATATGATATGTTTGTTGTACCTTCATCATCTCTTCACTTCATCAGTACTGCAGATAGATAGTTTCTCTCTAGAGAAGGATTATGTAGAAGATGTAAACCAAAAGAAGTCACTGAATGGAAGATGTAGATGAATTATAAGGGAAAATGGTTGCCAAAGAGGGTGACTGGCTGTGTGATTGTGGAGAGAGATTCTGTTCTTTGTGGATTTAACTTTAGGTGGTAGTTCAACCAAGACAGTGCAGCCATATAGGAACTTAGTGTTGAGAGAGGTGGATGAGAATGATGTGTTTCTCAAAAATATTATAGCAGTTTGCTGGCTTTTGGAAGAATTGATGCTTGAGGTAATTATCAACATAAAATACTTTGATGAGCTCAATAGAGTGACTCATACCACAAACTTCATGACATATAGAATGATGCAGATTTCTTGGACTCAAAAGAGTGTGATGGGCAATAGCTGTGGAAGTTGTTGATGCAGTTCTTCAAGAATTCCAAGAAGAAATGCTGAAGTGGTAATGTATGTTGTCCCATGTCTCCATCATTGAAAATCTACTAGTGTATCTTCTCACTTTACTTTCTAGTTAAAGAATTAAGTTCAAAGTGAGTGATAGTGTTATCTAAAGGGTTGTGATCAAGTAGATCACTTTTTAGAGACAGATACGAGATTTGTCAGTGATTAAAATCATCACTCCACTAAAGCTGAAGCTTTTCAGATGCAAGTATGCCTAGTGAAGTACCTGCTGAGACCAGTATCTCTAGGAGACTCTGTTGGCCACCACATTGCATTTAGGTTGCCTTGCATATAGGCTATTATCTGAGTGTAAAGTTCAATGACATTGTGATTGCTTTCTATTGGTCAAGGCAAGATTGAAACAGCAATCTGGTGCTATGGACATCAGGATTCCTATTATATTCTTCTTTTTGGATCTTTGAATAGCTTAATCATCAGTTCATTTGAACCTTTTAACAATGGTCTGATATATGTTTATAGATTTTGACATTGGTATAATGGCTTAAGTTTATTGCAAACAAAAAGTTGTAGACACTAAACTGTTAAACCTTCATCTGGGATAGATGCTACATCAAGTCCAAAGAACTGAATTGAGACTGGCACAAATGGGATTAACTCTAAATTCATGTAGTTGCATTCATATTACAGAAGAATGAAATCAAATTGGATCATATTCATGTAAATTTCTAACTACATGTTGCTTCTCATAAAAGATAATATTGTAGGCTAATCATCCATATTTTCTCTGCTCAAACACAAAGAAAAGACCTCTATGTTGTTTTTGGTTCTTCTCTTTGATCATTTCCTGAAGAGAGGTTTGCCACTTTGCCCAGTCGTTACATAGTTCATTGAGAAGAATCATTTCCATGGTCATCAGAAATAAGTTCTATCATTTGACATTTAAGATTGGATGTCATCTCACTCTAGCTAGGAATCAGGAGCTTAAAATTGGCTCTAATTATTTTGCATGCAGAATAAGAAAGAGAGGATTTGACTAAGTCAATTATCACTGCAGTTACTCAAGTCTGTGACTGTCTCTCATTAATCAGGATCATGCTACAGACCAAACTATGGTGAAACTTCATTCCTCTGACTTCATTCAAGCTAATTTTATGCTTTGTTTTCAATGCAGAAGACTAATAATTGCTTTACTGTACAACTGACTCTGATCACTAACCAGTGTTAAAGAACCATTTATAAAAGCTTAATGATACATGCAGAAGACTAAAAATTTCTTTCCTGAACAACTGACTCTGATTACTAAGCAGTGTTAAAAGAACCATATAAAAAGCTTAATGATACATGCAAGAAAGTTTACCAATAGAGCAAAAGCTTATCCATTTACATTTGACCAGCAAACATATAAAGAAAGCTCTGTGTTGAGAGCCATAAAGAACACTGACATTACCAGTAGTACTTCACCAAGAAGACATGCACAAACAAGAAACAACACTATAGGACGTTATTTGAAGGTGGCCAGCTTTATAAAACAGTGGCTACATACAATGTTCCATGACTGGTGTTTCAGAACACCTGAGTGCTCGCCAAACTACGGACTCTCTGTCCATAGTTTATATTTGAGGTCACTGACGGTGCTTACCAAACTCCAAAGTGTATTATTCTTTGAGGATGGATGGATGGATGGATGGATGAGCAACTATTTTAATGCTGCAGCCACCATTCACAGGTCTCTATGGTGATCAAGTGCTGCCTGCCTTTACCATATTTAATGGCGTCAGAAAGATGAGTTGGGCGTCGAACAGCATCCGGTGTCATCCTCAACGCCGTGTCGGGCGAGATCTTGTTTCAGAAGACAGATCTCGTGGGCGACATCGATCATGGTCGGCCTCATCGACGGAGATAACTGCGTGCAAACGAGCCCCAGCTCTATCAGCTCTGCCATCACGTCTCTCGGCAGCTCCTTGTGGTCGGCTGAGGTAGAGCGGTACTGCCCCAACGGTGCCCGTGATGTGATGACCTCTATGTTACGTGGGTAGTGACCCTTCACCCAGTCATGCAGGGTGAGTCCCTCGTGAAAGATCACGTCCGTAGGCCTCTTCCCTGTGATCATCTCTAGAAGTAGAACCCCGAAACTGTAGACATCGCCCTGTGTCGAAGGGTGCCCTCCCAACCCATATTCTGCGTTCAAGAGAACACTGTCAAGCATCTAAGAGAGAGAGAGAGAGAGAGAGAGAGAGAGAGAGAGAGAGAGAGAGAGAGAGAGAGAGAGAGGTATACTTAATACTACGTACCTGGTGCAATATATCCAACCGAGCCTTGCAGTAGTCCGGTGATAGAATGAAACCCAGATGATTCGGGGTCGTCGATGCAGTCGTCGTTAACGCCGCTCACCAGTTTTGAGATCCCGAAATCTGATACCAGTGCTGTCATGTCTTCATCCAAAAGAACGTTGCTGGGTTTAAGATCGCAATGTATGACCCTAAAAGGAGCATAGTGATGTAGATAGGCCATTCCTTCAGCTACATCACTCAAGATGCTTATCACCTGAATCAGGGTTAGACCAGGAGTCGATTCAATGGGAGGATTCAAGTACTTCTCGAGGCTCCCATTGGGCATCAACGGAAGAACGAGAGCCTTGAAATCAGGTTTGCTGCAAGCTGTTATCACTCTGATTAGGTTCCTGTGCCTGGTCCTCTTCAGCACCTGGCACTCCCTCTTGAAGCTCCCTGATATCTCTACGCCACTCTTTGGATCCAATACTTTCACTGCGATCCTCGTTTCATCTGGCAGAGTACCCTTGTACACATGTCCGAACCTGCCGCCGCCCACCAAGTTCGACTCTGCGAAACCCTCGGTGGCTTCGACGAGTTGCCGGTAGGAGATCCTTGGGTGGTGCTGCTTCTGTTCTTCCGAAGCGATCAGCGACTGGCGATGAGATGTCCGGTGTGAACACCAACACGTTCTTGATTTCCTGACCAGTGAATAAGCGAGGAGGCAGATGATGCAAGTGGTGCCGATCACGGTGAGAAGTATCGGCAAGGCACTGGACCAGCGAGCTGGCTTCGTTCCGCATGAGGGCATGCCGACAATAGACCCACACAGACCTGGATTGCCTCGGAAGGAGTCTGCGGTAAGCGAAGCAAATAGACCTTCGGTTGGTATAGCTCCGGAGAAGTTGTTGAAGGAGATGTTGAAGTGTTTCAGCGAGGCAGATGCTTGCAGTGACTCGGGCATGGTGCCTGACAACCGGTTGGAGGAGAGATCGAGCACTTGGAGATAAGGCAAAGCTCCCACAGAACTCGGGAGTGTGCCTTGCAACGCATTCCCGGAGAGGTTGAGATACTCGAGCGCGACGCAGCTGCCGAGCTGAGAAGGGATTGCTCCGGAGAAGTTGTTGGACGACAAGTCCAGAGCCAATATCATGTCCATTTTACTGAGCTCCATTGGAAGCGGACCCTCCAAGAGATTGGAAGACACGTTCAGATACAACTTCAAGCTGCTCAGCGCCGCGACATCACTCGGAATCCTCCCTGTCAAT